GGTGCGCCATAAAGTGTTGTATCGGTCACCCTCGGTTGTTCATATATTTCATAGTAGTAATATGTTTATAATTTTTGTATTTCATTCGATTTGAACACTTTTTGAAAACGATATCATGTTTTAGACATTTTAAGTTATATTTATTGATATTTGGACTTATACCCTACAGTCACTATGCACCGAAACTATTACTATTTTTAATTTTATTTTTGTATTTTAATATTTAAAACGTGGTTTATTTATTATTTTTAAAGCATTTACGTTAAATTCTACGTTAATTCCTAAATATTAAGGCAATTTAATGGTGTACAATTTATTTTTTGAAAAAGGCCATATATGGGGACTAGGGTCAAACATAGGCCAATCTTCATTAAATTTGGTGGGGGTATTTATGTTTATATTAAAGTTATTTTTGCTAAATATAATCGATACACTAGTATTTATATGGGAATTATGGATATTTTAAGTCATTTTATGAAGGGACTTTGTATGTTATTTAGGCTTATATATAATTTATTTGTAACGACTTTTGTAGATATACTAGCGTCTTTAAAAAAATGATGAGCTAAAAACCATATTCTAGATGTCCGTTTTGTATGGGGGCTAGGTAAAATAATGGGCCCGATTTGAACAATTCTCAATAGACTTCATCCTTCAGCAGAATAGTGTCATGTATGGCTGTTAAAAGTTTTTTTGTTGCTACTGGTTCACTGTACCAAATGAAAAAAGTGTGCGTTTTTCATTTGGAACACTCATTAAAAAACGTGATAAGTCAAAAAGTTGCAGCTTATTTTCTTACTTGACATAGAAAACAGACCAAAAAAACTAATAAACTAAACGATAGAGCGAATCTTGTCGAATCCACCCAACTTTTATTCAACAGAAGATTATGTTACACATAATAAAACACTCTCCTACAAAGGTCATTTTGTGTACCACAATTCAGAACTAACCCGTACAAGCAGAGGCCACAAACCAATTTTTTCCATTAATAGATTCCCAATAATTTCAATTAAACCACTAATCCAAATAAAAAAATCTAAACTTAAGATTTTATGTGTAATCAAACTTAAACCGTAAAAAAGTGAAAAAATAATGAATTCAATTGCTAAAAAATATGCAAAGTTTGAAAGCTCACTAATGTGTGAATATTGCGAGGTAAAATGAAACAAAAAAAATCAAAAATCACTTGGTTTCTTAGTTACCAGAAAATTAAAAAAAAATTTCAGAATTCTCAAATTTAAAATTTCCTTAAAGCGACACCAGATTGGCCATTTCTCCCACTGTGCGTCCGGTTGGTAGTCCATGTAAATTTAAAGCGCAAGGTATAGTTCGTTATAATGCCTCTAATGGAACTTTATTTGAAAGATAAAATAAAAATTATATTCTTTGAATTATTCTAAAACAGAACTAGAACAGAACTAGAAAAGAACTAGAACAGGACTAGAACAGAACTAGAACAGAACTAGAAAAGAACTAGAACAGGACTAGAACAGAACTAGAACAGAACTAGAACAGAACTAGAACAGAACTAGAAAAGAACTAGAACAGAATTAGAACAGAACTAGAACAGAATTAGAACTGACTAACAGACTAGAACAGAACTAGAACAGAACTAGAACAGAACTAGAACAGAACTAGAACAGAACTAGAACAGAACTAGAACAGAACTAGAACAGAACTAGAAAGAACTAGAACAGAACTAGAACAGAACTAGAACAGAACTAGAACAGAACTAGAACAGAACTAACAGAACTAGAACAGAACTAGAACAGAACTAGAACAGAACTAGAACAGAACTAGAACAGAACTAGAACAGAACTAGAACAGAACTAGAACAGACTAGAACAGAACTAGAACAGAACTAGAACAGAACTAGAACAGAACTAGAACAGAACTAGAACAGAACTAGAACAGAACTAGAACAGAACTAGAACAGAACTAGAACAGAACTAGAACAGAACTAGAACAGAACTAGAACAGAACTAGAACAGAACTAGAACAGAAACTACAGACTACAGAACTAGAACAGAACTAGAAAGAACAGCTAGAACATACAGAACTAGAACAGAACTAGAACAGAACTAGAACAGAACTAGAACAGAACTAGAACAGAACTAGAACAGAACTAGAACAGAACTAGAAACAGAACTAGAACAGAACTAGAACAGAACTAGAACAGAACTAGAACAGAACTAGAACAGAACTAGAACAGAACTAGAGCAGAACTAGAACTAAAACAGAACTAGAACAGAACTAGAAAGAACTAGAACAGAACTAGAACAGAACTAGACAGAACTAGAACAGAAACTAGAGCAGAACTAGAACAGAACTAAAAAAGAACTAGAACCGAACTAGAACAGAACAGAACTATAACAGAACTAAAAAGAACTAGAACAGACAGAACAGAACTATAACAGAACTATAACAGAACTAGAACATAACTAGAACAGAACTAGAACAGAACTAGAACAGAACTAGAACAGAACTAGAACAGAACTAGAACAGAACTAGAACAGAACTAGAACAGAACTAGAACAGAACTAGAACAGAACTAGAACAGAACTAGAACAGAACTAGAACAGAACTAGAACAGAACAGAACTAGAACAGAACTAGAACAGAACTAGAACAGAACTAGAACAGAACTAGAACAGAACTAGAACAGAACTAGAACAGAACTAGAACAGAACTAGAACAGAACTAGAACAGAACTAGAACAGAACTAGAACAGAACTAGAACAGAACTAGAACAGAACTAGAACAGAACTAGAACAGAACTAGAACAGAAACTAGAACAAAACTAGAACAAGAACTAGAACAAAACATTAGCAGAACTAGAACTGAATTAAAACATTTTTTATTTTAAAAATTTTTTCTCCGTGTATAAATTTTACAGATTTTTGACGTTTATTTATTTTATATTTCCTAATTTTCTAATATCCCATTTCTTTATTAACTTTTAACCTAAGTCAATTGTTTAAAAAACATTTTATCAAAACAAATTTCAAACCTAACCGCCAAAGAAAATAAACACTTTCAAGTATTTTAATAACTTTATGCGGAAAATCTACCGCTTTAAGAAAATAAATATTCGAAAAAAAACCCAAATAAATATTTTTCTTAAATTTTTCACTAATTTAACTATTTAATAAATAGTATATAAAAATAGCAAAATGTTTTTATTTTTTTAAACTGAATGTTTATATTAACAAAGTTAAAGTAAACATTTTTAAAAATAAATATTTGACACATGGTTGGGTTGTTAGGAAGGACCTAAAGTGACAGGCAAAAGGGATAAAGGATTTAAAGGCAAGTTGTGTAAAAAAGATATTTTTTAAGATGACGGAGACTTTAAAACAAATTTATATAAATAAACAAAATATTGAAAATTTGTTGATAGTTTGTAGTAACTGAACTAGAACTGAACTAGAACTAAACTCGAACTGAACTAGAACTACAATAGAACTGATCTAGAACTGAACTAGTACGGCAATAGAACTGATCTAGAACAGAACTACAACTGAACTAGAACATTTTTTAACTTAATTGTTGTCTTAACTAAGGCAGCTGATATTTTGAGGCAATGTACTGAGGACCCAAGAGAAATTTATTTTTAAAGAAATACTAAACAATTTCTTATAAAAAACATAATCGAGCATCACATTACAATTTGAAAGACAAATTTGTCATCCTCTATTATAATTTTTAAAAAATAATTTAAAAAATTTTGGTTTGTATTTATCTTAGATATTGATCAAAACAGTATTTTTTATTTTTACACAATTTTCATTTATACATATATACATTTAAATGCCAAAATCCTTAAAATCCAAATTATCATCATTGTCTAGATCTATTTACCGCCACCCAAAGCACCACCAAGTACACCACCACCAACTACACCAGTCAAAGCATCCACTATTGGTTCTGCCGAGGCATAGGACAAAATATTCATGATGGCAAGAGCAACAGTGGCTAAGAAGAATTTCATGTTAAGGCTACAAATATAAACAAATTTATCGATAGATTATTAATTACTAGTTTAAATACTGTTTCAATTATTCACCTTTGTTTAGCAGTTAAAAAACAGACTATGCTTTTGAAGTGAAAACTTGGAGTACTTATAGTGGAAAGTTTGGAAAATTAATTAAGTTCTATAAAAATTAGATCACGACTTTGTTAGAAATATTTGTTTTCAAAAATGAATTGCTGATAATGAATACAGCTGACAGAATGATAACGGAAGTAATTACTTTTACACATTTTTTCTATATTTGTAAAAATTATGTCATGGTCAAAAATCTATTAAATTTTGAAAAAGTGATTATGAAGATGAACTAGAATTTAATTAGAATAGAACTAGTTCTAGTTCTAGAACTGAATAAGAACTAAACTAGAACTGAACTAGAACTGAACTAGAACTGAACTAGAACTGAACTAGAACTGAACTAGAACTGAACTAGAACTGAACTAGAACTGAACTGGAACTGAACCAGAACTGAACTAGAACTGAACTAGAACTGAACTAGAACTGAACTAGAACTGAACTAGAACTGAACTAGAACTGAACTAGAACTGAACTAGAACTGAACTAGAACTGAACTAGAACTGAACTAGAACTGAACTAGAACTGAACTAGAACTGAACTAGAACTGAACTAGAACTGAACTAGAACTGAACTAGAACTGAACTAGAACTGAACTAGAACTGAACTAGAACTGAACTAGAACTGAACTAGAACTGAACTAGAACTGAACTAGAACTGAACTAGAACTGAACTAGAACTGAACTAGAACTGAACTAGTACTGAACTAGAACTGAACTTAAACTGAAGTGTTACTACATATAAGTTTTTAAGAATAGATGATCTTTTCTATCTTCCACACTTCTTTGAAAAAATATTTCGATCAAAGCTGACATTAGACAATTTATTTTATTGGTTTTCAATAGTTTTTAATATTTAACTAAAATAAATTATGATAATGTCTTAGTCGTGATGTAAATTTTATGGGAATTTCATTTATTATTTTGAAATTTTTGCTATAAATACCCTGAATTTTCACTGCAAATGTATTGTTATATTTTGGTTACTAAAAAAAAAACAAAGGTATTTCTGAGGAATTTTTATAATATTTTCTTTAAAATCCTTTAACTAATGAACAAATTTGTTAAATGTTTATAGCTTCACCATGAATATCTTTATTGCTGTTGCCCTCATGAATGTAATTTTGGGAGCCGTGGATAATGTAGCTGGTATAGATTCTAAAGTTTTGGAGAGTTTACTTGGTTAAATAAATTTGAAATCGATAATGAATTGATACGGATTATAAAACTGATCTCTTCAGTAAAAATATACATTTAAATAAAAATTATGTAAGCAATATAAATAAATTGTTTAATGCTATAATATAAAATATCAGTGGTGGAAAATTTAACATACTTTTAATTAGTTAGTACACATTGTGATTACTATTTTTTTCGTGATACGCTTTTCTACGCAATAGTTGATCTGGTTGTGATCAACTTTTCTCTATTATAATCACATCGCGATAAAATTGCGATCAACTTCTTTCGTAAGGACTTGATCACATTTGTGATAATGTTTATACTAAAACTTTCACTAGAACTGAACTACAACTGAACTAGTACTGAACTAGAACTGAACTAGAACTGAACTAGAACTGAACTAGAACTGAACTAGAACTGAACTAGAACTGAACTAGAACTGAACTAGAACTGAACTAGAACTGAAACTAGAACTGAACTAGAACTGAACTAGAACTGAACTAGAACTGAACTAGAACTGAACTAGAACTGAACTAGAACTGAACTAGAACTGAACTAGAACTGAACAGAACTGAACTAGAACTGAACTAACTGAACTAGAACTGAACTAGAACTGAACTAGAACTGAACTAGAACTGAACTAGAACTGAACTAGAACTGAACTAGAACTGAACTAGAACTGAACTAGAACTGAACTAGAACTGAACTAGAACTGAACTAGAACTGAACTAGACGAACTGAACTAGAACTGAACTAGAACTGAACTAGAACTGAACTAGAACTGAACTAGAACTGAACTAGAACTGAACTAGAACTGAACTAGAACTGAACTAGAACTGAACTAGAACTGAACTAGAACTGAACTAGAACTGAACTAGAACTGAACTAGAACTGAACTAGAACTGAACTAGAACTGAACTAGAACTGAACTAGAACTGAACTAGAACTGAACTAGAACTGAACTAAACTGAACTAGAACTGAACTAGAACTGAATTAGAACTGAACTAGAACTGAACTAGAACTGAACTAGAACTGAAGTAGAACAGAACTAGAACTGAACTAGAACTGAACTAGAACTGAACTAGAACTGAACTAGAACGAACTAGAACTGAACTAGAACTGAACTAGAACTGAACTAGAACTGAACTAGAACTGACTAGAACTGAACTAGAACTGAACTAGAACTGAACTAGAACTGAACTAGAACTGAACTAGAACTGAACTAGAACTGAACTAGAACTGAACTAGAACTGAACTAGAACTGAACTAGAACTGAACTAGAACTGAACTAGAACTGAACTAGAACTGACTAGAACTGAACTAGAACTGAACTAGAACTGAACTAGAACTGAACTAGAACTGAACTAGAACTGAACTAGAACTGAACTAGAACTGAACTAGAACTGAACTAGAACTGAACTAGAACTGAACTAGAACTGAACTAGAACTGAACTAGAACTGAACTAGAACTGAACTAGAACTGAACTAGAACTGAACTAGAACTGAACTAGAACTGAACTAGAAACTGAACTAGAACTGAACTAGAACTGAACTAGAACTGAACTAGAACTGAACTAGAACTGAACTAGAACTGAACTAGACTGAACTAGAACTGAACTAGAACTGAACTAGAACTGAACTAGAACTGAACTAGAACTGACTACTAGAACTGAACTAGAACTGAACTAGAACTGAACTAGAACTGAACTAGAACTGAACTAGAACTGAACTAGAACTGAACTAGAACTGAACTAGAACTGAACTAGAACTGAACTAGAACTGAACTAGAACTGAACTAGAACTGAACTAGAACTGAACTAGAACTGAACTAGAACTGAACTAGAACTGAACTAGAACTGAACTAGAACTGAACTAGAACTGAACTAGAACTGAACTAGAACTGAACTAGAACTAGAACTGAACTAGAACTGAACTAGAACTGAACTAGAACTGAAGCTGAACTAGAACTGAACTAGAACTGAACTAGAACTGAACTAGAACTGGAACTAGAACTGAACTAGAACTGAACTAGAACTGAACTAGAACTGAACTAGAACTGAACTAGAACTGAACTAGAACTGAACTAGAACTGAACTAGAACTGAACTAGAACTGAATTAGAACTGAACTAGAACTGAACTAGAACTGAACTAGAACTGAACTAGAACTGAACTAGAACTGAACTAGAACTGAACTAGAACTGAACTAGAACTGAACTAGAACTAGAACTGAACTGAACTAGAACTGAACTAGAACTGAACTAGAACTGAACTAGAGCTGAACTAGAACTGAACTAGAACTGAACTAGAACTGAACTAGAACTGAACTAGAACTGAACTAGAACTGAACTAGAACTGAACTAGAACTGAACTAGAACTGAACTAGAACTGAACTAGAACTAAATTAGAACTAAACTAGAACTGAACTAGAACTGAACTAGAACTGAACTAGAACTAAACTAGAACTGAACTAGAACTGAACTAGAACTGAACTAGAACTGAACTAGAACAGAACTAGAACTGAACTAGAACTGAACTAGAACTGAACTAGAACTGAACTTGAACTGAACTGAACTGAACTTGAACTGAACTTGAACTGAACTAGAACTGAACTACAACTGTACTAGAACTGAACTTAAACTGAACTGTTACTACATATAAGTTTTTAAGAATAGATGATCTTTTCTATCTTCCACAATTCTTTGTAAAAATTTTTCGATCAAAGCTGACATTAAACAATTTATTTTATTGGTTTTCAATAGTTTTTAATATTTAGCTAAAATAAATTATGATAATGTGTTAGTCGTGATGTAAATTTTATGGGAATTTCATTTATTATTTAAAATTTTTGCTATAAATACCCAGAATTTTCACTGCAAATGTATTGATATATTTGGTTACTAAAACAAAGGTATACTTTAAAGATTTTCAATATATTTTCTTTAAAATCCTTTAACCAATCGACAAATTTGTTAAATTTTTATAGCTCCACCATGAATATTTTTATTGCTGTTGCCCTCATGAATGCAATTTTGGCAGCCGTGGCTAATATAGCTAATATCGATCCTAAATCTACCGGGGGTTTGGCTGGTTAAATACATTTGAAATCGATAATGAATTGACACTAATTATAAAACTGATCTCTTCAGTAAAAATACACATTTAAATAAAAATTATGTAAGCAATAAAAATAAATTGATTAATGTATAATTTTATTATCATAGGTGTAAAAAATTAACATATTTATGTATGTACTTTTAACTGGCTAGTCTATTAACATTGTGATCATATCCCAGCAAAAATAAAACGAAGTACTTCCAAAAGAATAACATTTATCACCACTTCAAAAGTAGCACTAAGTGAATTTTTTTGCCTTCTTTAGAATTACTTCAGAAGTAGTAAATTTGGAATCAAATAAAGAGGACATCCCTCCTATGACAAACCTGTGTTAAAATCATCACTTCTTCAGGTCTTTTTCAGTACTTCCATGGAGTATATTTTACTTCTTTTTCGCTTCTTTTGAAGTTCTTTTGTTGCTGAGATTTTTTCTTTGATCAAATTTTCTACACAAAAGTTGATATGGTTGTGATACATTTTTCTTTATTGCCATAAAATTTTTTATTTATTTTGATCAAATTTTTTATTGCAACTGTGATCAACTTCTTTAGTAAGGACTTGATAACATTTGTAATAAAGTATTCTATTAAAAATTGTATTACAATTGTGAGCAAATTTTCTAGTAAAAAATGTATCACTTTTGATCAAATTTTCTAGTAAAAATTGTATAACTTTCTAGAGAAAATTATATGTCACTGTTGTCTAGAGAAAAGTTTAATCGTAATAGCGTAATAACCTTTTTAAATTAAAACAATAAAATGATATATTAAGAACCAATCATTTCAATTTATTTACATATTACACATTTTTCTTTTTAGTAAAGAATACAACTTTTTAACCTTATTGTCATATTTTCGTTTTTAGAATTTCTTTACCCAGCCAAACTAGCCAAAACTTTAGGATTGAGGCCAAAATTATCAGTCTCTTCTTCCAAGATTGCAACAGCTGAGCAAAAGGCCAAAATATTCATGATGGCAAGAACAATGAAGGTTTTCATGGTCGAGCTATAAAAAATAATAATTTTATGCTTGATTTTTAAATAATAAAGGAAATATTGTTGTACCCGCGTACCTTTGTTGTAATAAGTAATCAAGATGTAACTACGTATTTCTAGTGGAAATGCCCGGGTATTTATTTGTAGACACCTTTTGAAAAACAAATTATATGCCCATTAAATTTGTATCACGACTAAAAACTAATTTGTATTTTTTTTAACTACTTACTATTAATGAATATAGAAAATCAATTCGAACAATCCGGCAAAAACGGTCTAATGATCGCTTTGATAACAGGCGAGTTTAAACGAATAAAACGAAACATTCCAAAGATAGAAAATATTCTCTTTTCATAAAAATTTCAGTTTAGTCCTAGTTCAGTTCTAGTTCAGTTCTAGTTCAGTTCTAGTTCAGTTCTAGTTCAGTTCTTGTTCAGTTCTAGTTCAGTTCTAGTGTCAGTTCTAGTTCAGTTCTAGTTCAGTTCTATGTTCAGTTCTAGTTCAGTTCTAGTTCAGTTCTAGTTCAGTTCTAGTTCAGTTCTAGTTCAGTCTAGTTCAGTTCTAGTTCAGTTCTAGTTCAGTTCTAGTTCAGTTCTAGTTCAGTTCTAGTTCAGTTCTAGTTAGTTCTTGTTCAGTTCTAGTTCAGTTCTAGTTCAGTTCTAGTTCAGTTCTAGTTCAGTTCTAGTTCAGTTCTAGTTCAGTTCTAGTTCAGTTCTAGTTCAGTTCTAGTTCAGTTCTAGTTCAGTTCTAGTTCAGTTCTAGTTCAGTTCTAGTTCAGTTCTAGTTCAGTTCTAGTTCAGTTCTAGTTCAGTTCTAGTTCAGTTCTAGTTCAGTTCTAGTTCAGTTTAGTTCAGTTCTAGTTCATTCTAGTTCAGTTCTAGTTCAGTTCTAGTTCAGTTCTAGTCAGTTCTAGTTCAGTTCTAGTTCAGTTCTAGTTCAGTTCTAGTTCAGTTCTAGTTCAGTTCTAGTTCAGTTCTAGTTCAGTTCTAGTTCAGTTCTAGTTCAGTTCTAGTTCAGTTCTAGTTCAGTTCTAGTTCAGTTCTAGTTCAGTTCTAGTTCAGTTCTAGTTCAGTTCTAGTTCAGTTCTAGTTCAGTTCTAGTTCAGTTCTAGTTCAGTTCTAGTTCAGTTCTAGTTCAGTTCTAGTTCAGTTCTAGTTCAGTTCTAGTTCAGTTCTAGTTCAGTTCTAGTTCAGTTCTAGTTCAGTTCTAGTTCAGTTCTAGTTCAGTTCTAGTTCAGTTCTAGTTCAGTTCTAGTTCAGTTCTAGTTCAGTTCTAGTTCAGTTCTAGTTCAGTTCTAGTTCAGTTCTAGTTCAGTTCTAGTTCAGTTCTAGTTCAGTTCTAGTTCAGTTCTAGTTCAGTTCTAGTTCAGTTCTAGTTCAGTTCTAGTTCAGTTCTAGTTCAGTTCTAGTTCAGTTCTAGTTCAGTTCTAGTTCAGTTCTAGTTCAGTTCTAGTTCAGTTCTAGTTCAGTTCTAGTTCAGTTCTAGTTCAGTTCTAGTTCAGTTCTAGTTCAGTTCTAGTTCAGTTCTAGTTCAGTTCTAGTTCAGTTCTAGTTCAGTTCTAGTTCAGTTCTAGTTCTTTGTTGTTTTTTTCTAGTTCAGTTCTAGTTCAGTTCTAGTTCAGTTCTAGTCAGTTCTAGTTCAGTTCTAGTTCAGTTCTAGTTCAGTTCTAGTTCAGTGTCTAGTCAGTTCTAGTCAGTTCTAGTCATTTTCTAGTTCAGTTCTAGTTCAGTTCTAGTTCAGTTCTGTTAGTTCTAGTTCAGTCTAGTTCAGTTCTAGTTCAGTTCTAGTTCAGTTCTAGTTCAGTTCTAGTTCAGTTCTAGTTCAGTTCTAGTTCAGTTCTAGTTCAGTTCTAGTTCAGTTCTAGTTCAGTTCTAGTTCAGTTCTAGTTCAGTTCTAGTTCAGTTCTAGTTCAGTTTCTAGTCGTTCAGTTCAGTTCTAGTCTCAGTTCTAGTTCAGTTCTAGTTCAGTTCTAGTCAGTTCTAGTTCAGTTCTAGTCCGTTTAGTTCCGTTCTAGTTCAGTTCTAGTTCAGTTCTAGTCAGTTCTAGTTCAGTTCTAGTTCAGTTCTAGTTCAGTTCTAGTTCCAGTCTAGTTCAGTTTCTAGTGGTTCTAGTTCAGTTCTAGTTCAGTTCTAGTTCAGTTCTAGTTCAGTTCTAGTTCAGTTCTAGTTCATGTTCTAGTTCAGTTCTAGTTCAGTTCTAGTTCAGTTCTAGTTGCCAGGTTCTAGTCAGTTCTAGTTCAGTTCTAGTTCAGTTCTAGTTCAGTTCTAGTTCAGTTCTAGTTCAGTTTTCTAGTTCAGTTCTAGTTCAGTTCTAGTTCAGTTCTAGTTCAGTTTCTAGTACAGTTCTAGTTCAGTTCTAGTGCAGTTCTAGTTCAGTTCTAGTTCAGTTCTAGTTCAGTTCTAGTTCAGTTCTAGTTCAGTTCTAGTTCAGTTCTAGTTCAGTTCTAGTTCAGTTCTAGTTCAGTTCTAGTTCAGTTCTAGTTCAGTTCTAGTTCAGTTCTAGTTCAGTTCTAGTTCAGTTCTAGTTCAGTTCTAGTTCAGTTCTAGTTCAGTTCTAGTTCAGTTCTAGTCCAGTTCTAGTTCAGTTCTAGTTCAGTTCTAGTTCAGTTCTAGTTCAGTTCTAGTTCAGTTCTAGTTCAGTTCTAGTACAGTTCTAGTTCAGTTCTAGTTCAGTTCTAGTTCAGTTCTAGTTCAGTTCTAGTTTTGTTCTTATGCAGTTCTTATTCAGTTCTAAAACTAGAACTTGTTCTGTTTTAATTAAATTCTAGTTCATCTTCATAATCACTTTTGCAAAATTTAATAGATTTTTGACCATGATATAATTTTTACAAATATAGGAAAAATGTGTAAAAGTAATTACTTCCGTTATCATTCTGTCAGCTGTATTTATTATCAGCAATTCATTTTTGAAAACAAATATTTCTAACAAAGTCGTGATCTAATTTTTATAGAACTTAATTAATTTTCCAAACTTTCCTCTATAAGTACTCCAAGTTTTCACTTTAACAGCATAGTCTGTTTTTAACTGCTAAAACAAAGGTGAATAATTTAAACAATATTTGAACTAGAAATTAATAATCTATCAAAAAATTTGTTTATATTTGTAGCTTAACCATGAAATCTTTCTTAGCCATTGCTGCTCTTGCCGTTATGAATGTTTTGTCCTATGCCTCGGCAGAACCAATAGTGGATGCTTTGGGTGGTGTAGTTAGTGGTGTAGTTGGTGGTGCTTTGGGTGGCGGTAAATAGATCTAGACAATGATAATAACTTGGATATTAAGGATTTTAAATGTGTATATAAATGAAAATTGCGTAAAAATAAAAAATCTTAGATAAATACAAACAAATTGTTTTTATTATTTTTAAAAATAGTAGAGGATGATAAATTTGTCAAACATTTTTTTTAATTTGCGAGGTGGTCCTTGTTAGTGTCTTTGTTTTAAGAAGTTATTTAGTTTTTCTTCAAAAACAAATTTCTCTTGGTTCCTCAGTAGCTTGCCTGAAAATATCAGCTGCCTTAATTTAGTCAATAATTAAGTTAATAAATGTTTAAGAATTTTTATTTTAACCCCACAAAATAAACATGTCTCGCTACGCTAATAAGTTTTTAAATACTTTCTAAATGACCAGAAAATTCCAAACGTTTAACGTGAAAATTTCTTATTTTTGTAGTTAAAATTTGTCATTAAATTAAAGCATGAAATTAATGAGAAAACCAAGGTTTTGCAAAATATTTTCGTAGAATTTCTTTTATATAATTAAGTAATTTTCTTTTCAAATAACAATGATGTAAGTGAAATGGATGGCAATAAAATTAACAAGAAAATTGCAAATTTCATAGTTTTTTGGTTTTCTGGATAAATTCTTAAGAATTTAAAGGCTTTTTTGGTAAGCAGTTAGTCATGCTTTTAAATTAAATGTTTAAAATTCTTAAGGAATATTTTTAATTTTGTTTTAAAGAAATATTGGCCATAACTAAACAGCTGTATAAAATTGTATTGATATTGACTTGTTTTGTTTCTATTATAGAATGTCAAACTAATGGAACAAATCGATTTGTGTAGAACATGTACAAAAACAACATTGGTTTGAATTACAGTTTTACATTTTTTTGGTAAATTTCTAAAGAATAAAAAGTTTTTAATTTAGCATGACTTTTAGAACATTACATGACAAATCCAACAGGAATATTGAAAACAATAGTTTAACAGCAAAAAAAGACAAAATTTAAAAGCGTAACAAATTTTTCCTTTTTTTCTAAAAGAACACAATAACAAGGAAACTGGCTGCAGTAGAAAACTACTAAGGCAGCTCAAACATGCTGTGCGCATGCGCACGTTTATAAATGTTTTAGAGCTGTCTGTAGTAGCAAGGACATTTAGAGACATTTAGAGACACACTTCTTGTACTTATATTCCCTTTGATTTGTTACGCTCTTTTTTTGTGTCTCCTACCGTGTTCGATCATTGTTTTTTGGACTCATTTTTCTAAATCTTTTGTTTGTTTTAGTTTTTTGTTCCTTCGTTCACATGACAATTCCTGTTGGATTCTTTTTCACGCCAAATTAAAAACTTTTTATTCTTAGGAAAAGAAAGAAACCAAGTTTCTTGTCTTTAACATGGCCACACAGAATCGATTTGTTCTGTTTGACTTAAATTCTAAAACAACTTGTCCCTTTAACCAAAAAACCTCTCTTTACTTCTTCTACATTGAGCAGAATTTGTTACAGCTGTTTGCTATGGCCATTTGAAGAAACTTTATGCTGCTGTTAAACCATGACACACCAGAAATAATAAGACTCCAATAGTAACTAAAAGTCATGGAAATTTATTTTATAGTTTTATAAGTCTTTTGTTAAAAAGTAAAATGCTATGAAATTTGCAATTTTCTTCATAATTTTATTGTCATCATTAAGTTTTTCTTTTGGGCTGACAAGAAAAATTTCTCAATTTTCTTTAGAATTTCTTAGGAAAATATTTTGCTTTAACTTAGGTTTCACGTTAATTTCATGCTTTATTTTCGATTGAATACAAATATTGCCAAAAAAAATTTAACATTTTCTTAAGAATCACAAAGTCTTTAAACACTGATTAGCGTAGCGAGACAAGATCATTTTAAGTGATTAAATTGAGTCATTATGACTGAATCTGAGTGATTATTTTTTTTTAAAGTATGATCGGAATATGTTAAACTTCTCTAGAGAAAAGTTGTTCAGAAAGTGATCAACTCTACTAGTGATCAAAGTTGATCAGATTGCGATTAAATTTTGAAGAGAAAGATTTAAAAAATTTGAAACCAAAGTTGATCAGAAATTGGTCAACTCTTCTAGAACAAAGATGATCATAAAATGATCAATTCTTCTATATGAAAATTGATCAAATTGTGATCGCCTCTATACTATTCTAAAGAAAACTTGATCAGAAAGTGATGAACTCTACTAGATAAGAGTTGATCAGAATGTGATCAAAGTTGATCAGATAGTGACTAAATTTTGAAGAGAACGGTTTAAAGAAAGTAATACAATTTGGAAACAAAAGTTTATCAGAAATTGGTCAAGTTTTCTAGAGCAAAGATGAACAGAAAGTGATCAACTCTTCTAGACAAATGTTGATCAGAAAGAGATCAACTCTTCTAGAGAAAAGTTGATCAGATAGTGTTCAACTCTTCTAGACAAATGTTGATCAGAAAGAGATCAACTCTTCTAGAGAAAAGTAGATCAGATAGTGATCAATTCTTCTAAAGAAAAGTTAATCAGATAGTGATCAACTCTTCTAGACAAATGTTGATCAGATAGTGAGCAATTCTTCTAGAGAAAAGTTAATCAGATAGTGATCTATTCTTCTAGAGAAAAGTTTATCAGATAGTGATCAAATCTTCTAGAAAAATATTGATCAGATAGTGATCAATTCTTCTAGAGAAAAGTTGATCAGATAGTGATCAATTCTTCTAGAAAAAAGTTTATCAGATAGTGATCAACTATTCTAGACAAAAGTTAATCAGATAGTGATCAACTCTTCTAGACAAATATTGATCATAAAATGATCAGTTCTTCTAGAGAAAAGTTGATCAGATAGTGATCAACTGTTCTAGAGAGAAGTCAATCAAATAGTGATCAACTCTTCTAGAGAAAAGTTGATCAAAAAGTGATCAACTCTTATAAGGAAAAGTTGATCAACTCTATAAAAGAATAGTTGATCAAACTTTGAAGAGAAAAGTTGAAAGAAAGTGATAAAATTTTTTAAACAAAAGTTGATCGGAAAGTGACCAACTCTTCTGCAATAATTATGAACAGAAACTGATCAACTCTTCTATATAAAAGTTCATCAGATAGTGATCAATTCTTCTAGAGATCAACTCTTCCAGAGAATAGTTATTCAGAAAGTGATCAACTCTTCTAGAGAAAAGTTGATCAGATGGTGATCAATACTTCTAGAGAAAAGTTGTTCAGAAAGTATCAGACATTTTATTGGGGATCAATCTACAGAATATTTGATAAGAAAGTTTTCAACTTTTTAAACAAAATGTTTTCAGGACGAACTAGACTTTTCCAAAGAAAGGATCTTGTTTCTAAAAAAGTCCATTTCGTCCTGAGGCAACGTGATCAACAAATGTTGTTGCGTTTCATTTCAACTTTATAATTATAAAACTTAATCGATTTCGTGAAAAAAGTTGATCATTATTATTAACACCAAAGAAACCAATATTCATTAGAACAAAGAGCAATAAATAAAATTAATTTAGTTAAAACACGATTTTCGTTTCAAATAAATCTGGTATTTACTAAAGATGACAACTGCATATAGAAGTGATAACAGTTTTTTAATAAACATAAACTAAATTATTTAGTTTTTAGCAAAAATTTTCTAATTTTTTCAAATACTTTATATACCTTGAACACCCTTAAAAACTTCAGTTTATTTCTGTAACACAAATCTGTAAGACAAGTGGTAAAAGATTTTAAAAATTTATTAACAAATATTATTTATTCCCGTTTTTAGATTCACCATGAAAACCTTTTTTGCTATTGTTGCTGTAGCCATCATGAATGTTTTGGCCTTTGCTTCGGCTGAACCCGTTTTGGAAGCCTTGGCTCCTGTAACTGGACTTGTAGGTGGTTTAACTGGCAAGAAATAATTAAGGATCGCAATAGCATGAAAATTATGAAAAAGTTTTTTTAATGTATTTTTTTTTTCTTTAAACTAAAATGTAATTAAAATATAAAGATTATGAAAAGTTATGATTTTGGAATACATTTTTTTAATGTTCATAGACAAAAGACAAAGAACTAAGCTAAAATTTGATTCTTGGTAGAAATCGATGTAGTCGATGTTTTCTAATGAGAAGATTTATGAGAAAGTGATCGTAAAAAACTGATCAGTAGATAATCAATCTACTTTTCTATAGAAAATTATAAGAAATTTATTGGCTTTTGTAGAAAAGATTCTAGAGAAAAGATTATCAGAATGTGATCAACTTTTTTTAGAGAAAAAACTTATCAGAGTACGATTAGTTTTTTTAGAGAAATGTTGATCAGAAAGTTATCATTTCTTCTAGGGAAAAGTTGATTAGAATATGATCAGATTTTCTAGAGAAACGGGAAAAAACTGATTAGAAAATTACTAAAAAATTTAACGAGAGAATGATCAACTTTCCTAGAGAACAATTGATCAGAAAGTGATCAACTTTTCTAGAGAACTATTTAATCAAAAAGTGATCAACTTTTCTAGAGAAAATTTGGTTAGAATGTCATCAGGTTTTCTATTGAAAACTTTGTTACTTTCTGATCAAATTTTCTGTGTAACTCTTCTGGAGAAAGTTTGATCAGAAAGTGACATGATTGCAGAAAGGTTTATAAATTTTTCAAAAGAAAATTATTAAAGAACAATTGATCAGACTGCGATCAACTTTTGTGTTAAACATTTATAGAGAAATCTGTTCAGAAAGTGAACAATATGTCGAAGAAAGATTTGATATTGAAAACTTGTACAAATTTTTGGTTTAGAAGTTTTTTTTTTTATTAAACATACGAATAGTAACAGAAGAAAATATTTATTTTATTTTTTGAATTATTCTCTAATCTGGTGGAATTACTCCAGGGCCATATGCATCCAAGGGATCAATAATGGGTTCAGCAGAGGCAAAAGCCAAGATATTCATTATAGTTAAAGCAACAATTGTTACAAAAGTTTTCATGATGAGACTAAAAAGAGACGAAATCATTAATGTATAAACATTTTTTTTAGTAAAATTTCAAAAAACTTACAAGTTAAGAGCAAATAACTAGATTAAAGTTTTGAGTCTTAATTCAGGGTATTTATAGTGTTGGGACTATGTTTGTATATAGTGTATAGTAATAGGTTCTTATCTTTAAAAACTTCAAGCCTAATTAAGAACTCTTAAAGTCGTGCAAAAATGTATTTATATATTCATGATTTTTTCTTTTTTGTACCCTAAATGACTTTAGGGGGAAGAGTATATTGGGTTTATGCTGATGTTTGTAACACACACAAATATTCGTTCTATACCCACCTTAGTGGTTCGAAAAGTTATGTCCGTCTCTCCTTCTGTCTGTCTGTTCGTCCGTCCGTTCGTCCGTACGTCTGTCTGTCTGTCTGTCTGTCTGTCTGTCTGTCTGTCTGTCTGTCTGTCTGTCCGTCCGTCTGGTCGTCCGTCCGTCCATCGGGCTGGCTTTTCATGTAAAGCTGGTGCTCAAGGTCACAATCTTCAAGATAATTGGATGGAATTTGGTACACGTGCTTATTTTGGACAAAGGATAAAGCCTATTGAAAATTATTAAAATCGCCCCATTATTTCATTTAGACCCCATACAACAGAACCCCCGAAAAGGACCTTTGAGCTCATAATTATGTTAAATGTACCTGTGTCTCAATAAAAAGCGTCACAAATAAGTTTTATACAAACCTTTATGACCTTGTCAAATTTCATAAAGATCGGGTTTCATTTGACCACAGCTCCCATACAAAGTTCCCTTCATCGCAGCCTGATCAATTGTTCTTAAAAATGATCAGTTGTGAACAGCTTTGCAATCATGCCGCTTAAAATTGACAAATTTACAATGTTCTATTGAAAAGTTTGTCACCTTCTGATCAAATTTTCTGTCTAACTTTTCGGCGGAGTGATAAAGTTTTCAATAGAAATCCTGATGATTTTGTGAGCAAAATTTCTCTAGAAAAGTAGATCACTTTCTGATCAAATTGTGCTCTTGAAAAACCTGATGATTTTGTGATCAAAATTTCTCTAGAAAAGTGGATCACTTTCTGATCAAATTGTGCTCTTGAAAAATTGATCATTGTCTTGCCAATTTTTTTTAATAACTTTCTAATCGGCTTTTCTCTGGAAAGGTTGAGAAAATCTGTTCACTTTCTAATCAAATTTTTCCCTAGAAAAGATTATAACTTACTGATCAACATTTCTCTAGAAATTTTGATCACACTCTGATAAGTTTTTGTCTAGAAAAGTTGATCTTATTCTGACAAGCTTTTCTCTAGAATCTTTGCTAAGAAAGCAAATAATTGTCTTATAATTTTATATAGAAAAGTAGATCATCTCCTGATTAGGTTTTTTATCACTGTCTGATAAACATCTTTTTAGAAACTAGGATTTCTTTCAAGAATTACATTTTAGCTTAATTCTTTGTCTTAAAAAAAAATATATATTCCAAAATCATAACTTTTCATAATCTTTATATTTTAATTACATTTTAGTTTAAAGAAAAAAAAAAAATACATTCAAAAAACTTTTTCATAATTTTCATGCTATTGCGATCCTTAATTATTTCTTGCCAGCTAAACCACCTACAAGTCCAGTTACAGGAGCCAAGGCTTCCAAAACGGGTTGAGCCGAAGCATAGGCCAAGACATTCATGATGGCTACAGCAACAATAGCAAAAACGACTTTCATGGTGAAACTAAAAACAGGAATAAATAATATTTGTTAATAAATTTTTAAAATATTTTACCACTTAACTTACAGATTTGTGTTACAGAAATAGACTGAAGTTTTTAAGGGTGTTCAAGTTATATAAAGTATTTGAAAAAACTAGAAAATTTTTGCTAAAAACTAAAAAAATTAGTCTATGGCTATTAAAAAACTGCTATCACTTCTATAAGCAGTTGTTATCCTTAGCAAATTCTAGATTTAATTGAAACGAAAATCGTGTTTTAACTAAATTAATTTTATTTATTGCTCTTTGTTGTAATGAATATTGAATCCTTTGGTGTTAATAATTATGATCAACTCTCTTCGAGATATCGATTAAGTTTTATAATTATAAATTTAAAATGAAACTGATCAACATTTGTTGATCACTTTGTCTTAGGACGATCAACATCTCTCTGGAAGAATTGATCTCTATGTGATCATCTTTTCTCTGGAAAAGTTTTTGATCAACGTCTCTCTAGAAGAATTAATTTCTATCTGATCATTTTGTCTCTGAAAAAGTTGATCACTTTCTGATCCACTATTCTCTAGAAGAGTTTATCACTTTCTGATCATATTTTCTTTAGAAGAGCTGATCAATTTGTGATCATCTTTTCTCTAGAAATGTAGATGACATTTCGATTAACTTTGCTCTACAAAAGTTGACCACTTTATGATCAAATTCTTCTCATGAAAGGTTGATTACAATCTGATTAACTTTTCTCTAGAAGAGTTTATCACTTTCTGGTAAAGATTGGTCACATTACGATCAACTTTTTTAGAGAAAACTGTTCCAAAGAAAGTGAATCAATATATGATCAATTTTTCTAGAGATCACTTTATGATCAACTATTATTGAGATATTCACTCTCCCCTGATGACCCTTTCAAAATTGATAGATGACTGGGTTTTGAATGAGATGGAGCTCAGGTGGTCAAATATCACCACTTGTAGAATATCGAGACTGCTCTGGCCCACTCTGACAACAGATAGGACTAGGACTCTTATGTCTCTTAGTAAGAACTCGATTAGGCGGCTTCTAACTGGTATAATTACTGGGCACTGTATGATTGGACTTATGTCGGAACGTTATATACCCACGTTATAACTACAGTCGAAGCTGTTTGGACGAATAAGAAGTGGAATAGGTACAACACCTTCTATGTGACTGCCCAGCCATACAAGAGCATAGACTACTTTATCTTGGTGAAGCTCTTTTCCATAATATGGACAGTCACAGAGATGCGTCATTAGTAAACATGATCGGTTTTATTAGAAGCATCGGCTGGTTTTCACGGAGACCGAACGAACCAAGTAGTCCACGAAATTAGGGAGGGAAACCATTGTCTCAATATTAGGGAATGGCAATTCTAAGGGTATTACAATGGACCACAAGGCCTTCGGGTGAACTCGCTTACTAGAGAGCAACCCACGTAATCTAGATGTTGAAGAGTATATCAGCAACTGGTTAGTAACTATGCTGAAATCCAGAATAGTTACTGCAAGTCTTGGTAACAGCGTTAAGTACAAGCAGGTTGAACGAGGCACACCAGAGCGCGGCGTAATCTCTCCACTACTTTGGCTCATCATCGTTAACTCGTTTCTCATTGAACTGGACAACAGAGGGATAAAAGTTGTTACTTACGCTGACGATGTTGTGATATTGGTATCAGGAATGTACCCAGACGTGATTAGTGATATCATGTCTAATGCTCTGGTGCTACTCGATAATTGGCCCACAGACAGCGGCCTTGGAGTAAACCCAAGCAAGACAGTACTGGTACTATTCACGACAAAGACCAAGATTCCAAGCTTCAACTTGCCGCTGTAAAAAAACTGCGAAATATCCTTATCGAACAATGCCAAATATCTAGGAATTATTCTAGACTCCAAATTATCATGGAAACTCAACAGCCAACACAGAGTCAAGAAGGCAACGGTTGCCTACTATACCTGTCGTAAGATGTTTGAAATGAAATGGGGACTAAGTCCCAACATAGTTAAATGGATGTATACAGCTATAGTACGTCCTATTCTTATATATAGATCTCTTGTATGGTGGACTTCAACTAAGAAGAAATATGTTGTAGATCAGCTATACAAAGTTCAGAGATCAGCATGCATTGGGATAACAGGTGCTCTAAGAACAAGTCCTTCAGAAGCTCTGAACACTATATTGAACATCCTACCAATAGATCTTCATATTATGGCCATATCTGCTTAAAGTCGCTGAGCTGCTTAACTCATCCGGAAGTTGGAAATCAAGAACATATGCACACGCTAAGATTTTAAGCCAATTACCTCCAATCTTGAACCAACCATCCGATTATATTACCCCACACACTGATTTTGATAGTGTCTTCAAAGTGAGAGTTTCTTCCAGGAGCGAGTGGTGTAGGTGTAACCTACCGAGCGAATATACCACCAGAATCTTTACAGATAGTTCTAAAATGAACTGTGGTGTTGGTTCTGGTGTCTTCTGTTATATTTCACCGTCTTCCCAACAACTGTAGTGTCTTTCAAGCTGAAATATTCGCGATAATGTCACTACACGACCTCAATAGATAGAACTAGCTTACTGTGTGATCGACATGATCACTGTGTAGTAGATTTGAACTATCACGTTAACCAACCAACCCACGTAACCTAACCTATGATAAACTTTTTTAGGGAAAATTTATAATTGTGCGATCGATTTTTCTAGATATGACTTGATCACTGTGTAGTCGACTTTTCTAGAGAAAACTTGATCACTTTGTAATCAACATTTCTCGGGAAAATTTTAACATTTTGTGATCGGCTTTTCTAGATAGAACTTGCTTACTGTGTGATCGACTTTTCTACATAAAACATGATCACTCTGTGATCGACTTTCCTATAAAAAACTTGACTGTGCGATCAACTTCTTTAAATAAAACTTGATTACTGTATGATCGACTTCTTTAAATAAAACTTGATCATTTTGTGATTTACAGTTCTTGTGAAAAGTTTATCACTTGATCCTTTTAGTTCAACTTTAAACCTTGTGAATGAATTAGATCGTGAGAATTAGAAATTGTTTTCTTGTGAACATATGCTAATAGATCTTTTACTTTCAAAGGCATTCTTCCTCTTATGAATATACTCCTACTTTACTCATCATTTTCCTGTTCAAAATTTTAATAACTTCAACATGTGTCTTCTAATTAATAATATTCATTATTCCAAAAAAAAAACAAAAATCTTATAAATTCATAATGTGTCATGTCTTTAACATGTGCAAATTATTTACGCTTTCCTTTTTTTAAACATTAATACAGAATTTTTTTAAACTAACATGTCATTTCTGAAATAGTTAATCCTTAAAATAATGTCACG